CATAGCGACTACAATAACAACACTTAAAAATCTATTTTTGATCGAGTTCATTATTTCACTAGCATTATTTTAAAATCAATAAATAATATTTATTACTTTATTTTTGTATTGTTATAAACAGTTTAATGTATCTTATTATTATAAATTATGATTATTTATAGACATTGATAAAGTGATAATCGTATAGTCATTATGATTTTAATATAAAAATAGTATGAACATTATTTTCATTATAGTAGAGACATTTAAATTATGTTTCATACAATATATTAATTTAAACCATATTATTATAATAGGTATCTAAAAATTTTTAGAACTTAAATTTTAAATTCATATAGTGTCGGACAACTGTTCAGTGTTCACGTTGGGCGTGCCAGATTTAATTAAATCAATACTAATATTGTCGTTCGTATGATAGGGCGTGCCTAAGGGCCATTCAATTGCTAGTAGAATGATGTTCTGTAATTATTTAGAGTGCGTAATATGAATGATGATTTTTTACTTGTTTTGAGACCTGTGCCAAGTCCTTGGTAATGCCTTGACACCAAACGAAAATGTTTGACGAATCGATAACATCAAACTCCATAAACAATTTTTTTTTTTATAATTTGATACGGTTATTTACAATAATTGACAAAATTAACCAGATTAGAATTTCTAATATTACTTATAGTTACTTATTAATGTTTAGTCAAATGTTTAAGTTTCAAGTGTTTAATATTAATTATTAATTTTTCAGAGTTTGAATTGAAAAATCCGCCGCAACATGGCGACACGTATATGCATTTTAGTGTTTGCAACACTATTGGCTTACGTATGCAATACAAGTGCCATTCTATCAGAACAACTCGACTGTCCTGAAGATTGCGATTGCCATTTCTTCAGAATTAACTGGGTGACTGACTGTTCGGAAAGTAACTTGACATCCATGCCATATGAAGGACTCGACAGCAATGTCTATGTACTTAATATGAACGGAAATCTCTTAAAAGAAATCGAACCGTTCCCAGCCGATATCAAACTTAGGACATTGCAGTTGTCCGAAAACTTTTTAACAAAAATTCAAAAAACAACGTTTGCTGGACTTCATTACCTACTGGATATCGATTTGTCATCTAACTTGATCAATTATGTTGATCCTGAAGCATTTGTGTAAGTTTATTTAAATATCTGGCCGCTTATTTAATGTATAGGTATTGAGTATTTCATGTGTATACGTTTCTACAAAAGATATTTAGTCTATAAAATGACACAAGCTTTATTACTTCTGCGTTTAACTTCAATCGTATTTAAATTAAACAAATTGAGTCACAGTTTCCATGTTTGCTTATTCAAGGTCGATTCTATTGTTGGGTGATGTACTAACATTAAACGTACATGACATTTCTAAACGGCTACACTAAACAAAAAAATACTATTATAAATATTTTAATTATCTGTTTAAATATATCTTATCTTAAAATAGAATATTAAAAAAATTATATTATTTCATTCTTACGGTTAATTGCATGATCCTTTTTTATTATCTTATTGCTTTATATTTGTTTAAACAAAAAGTGAAATTATTATTACCAATTATACGAAAACTGTTGGTTTAAATTGTAATGAAACATTTAATATTTTAATAATATTATAGGTACTTGTATTTTTATTGAATAGATTTATTCCAATAAAAATAATAAATAATTTAAAATATATCTACTTTTTTTATTAAAACATTTTTATTATTGATTTTAGAACAAAAAAGTATTTAAATACATAATTTAAATTATAAATTTAAAACTTAATCGACATTTGTTATATTTGTTACAGGGATAGCGCTGGATTAATTACGTTAGAATTACAAGGAAATCCATTGGAACAAGTCGAAGGTCCATTCTTATACTCCAAGTCTTTGCTATACCTATACCTGGCAAATTGTCATCTTGCAAAATTATCACCACAGTTTTTCGCCAATATCAGTGGTCTAGATAAACTTGATATTTCTGGAAACCCTCTGCATATCATTGAACCAGGCATATTTGATCCTCTTACTAGTTTAAAACATCTAATTTTAAATAACTGCAATCTTACACACATATCAAGCGTAGCATTTAGTAGCCTTGGACACCTTACGGTATTGGAATTGGCTGGAAATAGTCTTAAAAGTCATGTTGACTGGACTTTAATACTGGGTAATTTAGGTAGATTGGAACATCTCGATTTAAGGCAATCGGGTGTATCAAATTTACCAGAAAATGTATTTTTCAATAATACTTGGCTAAGAGGTTTGGTGTTGGCTGAAAATGAATTATCAGATCTTGACGTAGCTACTACTTTAGGTCACAATTTAGTTCATTTAGATTTTCTGGACCTCAGTTATTGTCATTTAAAAGGACCTTTGTCTGAAGATGCATTCGCTAATGCTACAAAATTACGTACCCTCATATTATCTGGAAACCATTTATCTGCAGCAGATTTAGCTGTAGCTTTATCACCTTTATTAAAACTGGTGAAACTTTCACTGAGAGACTGTGGATTAACACGGTTACCTGCTAACACTTTCCATAAATTTACTAGTTTACAAGAATTGGACATATCAAGAAATCCTTTGAACAATGCCTTTACAGCACTTTTATCTCCGTTGGAATCGTTGGAACATTTAGATATGGGTTATAGTAACTTGCAAAGAATATCTAGAACGACTTTTTTGAAAATGTCTGCTTTGAAAACGCTCATTTTGTCTGGAAATAAACTTAAAAGTCTCGAATCAGGGTTATTCCAAAATCTTACACGTTTAGAAGTATTAGAGTTGAATAACTGTGGACTTAGTCGTCTAAATGATACAGTATTCTACGATAACTTTACATATCCAGACTTGGAAGAGTTAAGACTTTCAGGAAATCCTCTCCAAGTTCCCGAAGAAGGACCAATACTACCACCTCAATTATCTGGCTTAAAGAATTTAGACATGAGTAAATGTAATTTGAGTCGTTTACCTGTTGATGCTTTCATTACAACACCTAACATTAGTCAGCTCTTGTTGAACGATAATAAATTAAAGAATGACGAAGAAGGGTCTATGAAATTTTTAGAGTCACTGACCGGGTTGGAACAGTTGGACTTGAGTTTTAATAATATCACGGCAATAAAACCTGATAAATTTGGTTACAATCATCAACTCATGTCATTACGACTAGTCGGTAACCCTTGGAAATGCGATTGTTATGTTGTGGATATGTGGGAATGGGCTGCGTCGTCTAAAGGAAATATAGGCGTGTTGGTAGGCTCTACGAAATCGATAGCTTCCAACGTAAACAACAAAAAGACCAAAGGATTGGTGTGCAATTTCGACCCCAAGAGCACGCCTGTCAAGGAAGCCAAACTTCGAAGACCCGGTAGAGAACTCACATCCAGTGTACAACGTACGTGGGCCAGGTATGTGCGCGAGGCGAATTGTCCGCACAGCCCTGTGGCAGCAAGACCAGCCAGAATCGTTACTAGAGAAGTCCACGACCACGAGTATCAGCCAATGTCGGAAATCGAAAACGAAACCCAAAATAAGTGGTTACCTCTAATAAGCTTCTGCGCCGTTTTGTTACTGGTTTCAGTAGTAATGATGAGCGTGTTAATAAAACGTAAAGAAAATCCAACAAAGAAAGATAAAGACATCTCATGCGATTATTCACAAGAAAACGATGACGTCGTGCAATTTAAAGGAACTAAAAACGTATCCCGTAGAACCATCAAATGACAAACTCGTACTAGATAAACTAAATTTCAGTTATTTCAGTTTGTAAGTCTTAAGCAAATATTTTCATCATTATTATATATATTTATATATATTTTTTTTTCTTTAGTAACCCATCACACATTTTACCACTTTCTACATACCAAACAAAACATTATAAAAATTAATAAATGTATACTTGGAATTTTGGAACTTTATCATTCTTTGTATTATGTTTAGATTATTATATCCAATATATTTTGTTTTCCTAGCAGAAAAGTTCCTAATGGTAGTTGGTTGTCAGTGGTGTTGGATACAGTCAATCAAAAGCAATGTTTCTCACTTTTATATTTTCATTCCTAATGCAAGGTCATTCAGTGCAGGGTAATAGTAAACTTGCACATTTTTCAATAAACAGTGGACTAGGTACTAGTCGAGTTTCACTGTTTATTTTATTTTTATTATTATTCGGATTGACTGATCAAATATATATTGTATATTCTAGTTATTAAGCTTTTTATGTATTATTTATGCACGCTCTCTGTAAAGCATTGTCAGATCATAGATTGTGATGTTAGTCTTCGACCGTATATTATTATAATCATGGCTTAGGATTATGTATACACCTATATTACTATTTATTAAATACAATAATTATAATATAGATTACCAACCTAATATAATTGGCTAAGATTATTTAGATGTAGAAAAATAAATATTCTTTATTCTTGTTATGCTAAATGTATCTATTAAATGAAATGTATATCTTATTATAGTATAATAATTTTTAACTATATTTCATACCATGTTTTTTGTCCTATTGTGATTTTCCTGATGATCTTTATCATTTTAATAGAACAAATAAACATTTAAGTTTAAAACCAGTTAGATATTTAAATTTTAATTGCTGTGTACTAATATTATTTACTACACTAAATGATTATTGATCATATTATAGCAAGAATGTGCATTAGATTTTAAATTTATTTAAAAACTCATACAATATTTTAATTTTAATTATTATTATTTTAAAGATAAAACATATTTGACATACAAATTAAAATAATTGGATATTACACACTTTTTTAAGTGGTATTATACATATGACTACAACAGTCAAATATTATGTATTTAGTTACCCATTAGGTGTAAATATCCATTTAAATCTCAAGAATCTAAACAAAAGAAAAAATAAACAGTTTTTATGAAATATCAAACTGTACAATGGAAGTGATAAGGAATCAAACTGTATCATATAGGTAATCATTAATTTAGATATTTAATAAAAATATAAATCAACAGAACATTTTATTTTACTACAGTAATTAATAAAAACAACTAGGCTGTTACACTATAACATTAAACTCTTATTGTTTCTAAACATTGTTTTATCTCTTCCACTATTTTCATATTAAATTTTTCATTTATTAAGTGGCTTAAACTTACATTACATGTTGTAGCAACGTTTTCAATAATGCCATTTTTTACAGATAAAATAACGGAGTGTTCGTCATTAGATTTAACAGTTATATTAAACTTTGGCGTTCGTCCATATCTCCACTCCCAACTCTCCATTTCATTTTTTATTTCGTTGAAACCTGTTTAGAAAAAAAAAAAAAAAGCTATCAGCAAATATAATTTAAAATATTTATGAGTATTTTATATAACTTATTAGACATAAACACAGTGTTGTTATATTCTTTTTTGTATTAATCTTTAATCAGTATAATCTATTAAAAAAAAAAAAAAATTACCAGGGAATGTTTGTTCATTTGGTGTTACATAATTAAATCCTTGATCTGTTGTAGTTTTATTGCCTACTGTTTTCAGGTATTGTAAACCAACAGCAGTCATTAATCTATTGATGCACACTTTGTTATTAATTTGTGTCAAATTCAATACATCAGATGTTACACTGACTGTGGCATTGGTTTCAATATTTTTCTGAAACACATTACAATATTAGAAGTTATGTAATATTTACTAATTTTTATTATGCAATTTACTTCACGTTTTCTCAATAGACTTGACATTAATTCGCGATTGCAATTAACTAATAACGTACAATGGTGATATGCATTAGGTCTTCCCAACTTGGAAGCTGTGCCAGATATCTATACATAAATTAATTGCTTTAATACATTAAAGCTGTAAAATAATATTTTCATTACGAGGAAATCTTATTAGCTCAGATCCTTAACTTTGTAAATATTATCTATAACAATGTCTTCTCGTTTATTTATTTCTGTTACAACATTCCATTCACTCTTTAATGTTTCAACGATTAGTTCTAAATTTTTTTTCCTGTTATAAATGTCCCTGCTAGTGAAAAATGTCATATTGAGATTTTCATTATCGTGAAATACTGTTCCACCGCCACTATTTCTTCTGGCCATCCGTACATCAATAGCTGAATCAAAATTTATTTCTAACCAAGGATTCTGATGTCGGCCAATTACAACGCAATTACTGTTTACCCACAATAGCAACATAGATTTATTTGTGAAGTTTGAATGGCGGTAGAACCAATGTTCCAAGGCAAGGTTTTCAAATACATCTGTTGATTTGGATATCAGAACAGTCTTTTCAATAACTGATGAATAAAATCTTCGAATAATAAAGGCCATAACAAACTTGAGCCTGAAAGTAAATTTAAAATTAAAATTGCTGGTACATCATATGAAAAATTAATAAATGATTCTTTTGATGTTGTTCATTAAATTAATAGTAAAATAACATGTCATTTGGGTATGATTTACTAATGATAAAGTACATTTTTAATTTAACAAATTTTTGGTAAATAATATAATATCATATACAGCAGTGTCTCACAAGTTAGCAATTTTATCCACTAATAAATAAGCACAGTTTTAAAATATTATCATAGATATATTAGATATTGTAGCAACAAGTGATTTAACACATTCAGCATGGATGACGCTAATTGGCGTAAATTAACATTTTTTGAATATGCTGAATAAAGTCAATTGTTGCATGTATTATGTGCATACCTTGTTATTAAAAAACAAAACTAAAATTTGGCCAATGTTACAATAAAACTATAAGTTGTTTTTTTTTTTTTTTTTTTTGTCTTTCTTACTTAGAAATAATATTTCATAAGTATATGTAAGTCGTTTAATGGTATATTAATTTTTCAATTTTTAAGATTTTTTTTTTTAAAGCTTTAATTTTTTCAGTTTCAAAACAAGTATACTCAAATATGTAACACAGCTAATGTGTTTACAGTAATTTGATTTCAACTAAAATTACTTAATAAGTATTAATATTATTTTTATTGGTAGATAATTAAAATTTATGATATGGAGAATTGAAATGTTTGTGTTAAATCACAGGCAATTAAAATTATAGATAATAATAACATTGAAATAATTGTTAATGCAAATTTCAAGTATGAGATAATGTTTACAAAAAACATTTTATGATAAAAGTAAAAGAAAAACTATTATTTATTAAGTGGCTAATGAATTTTGAATTAAGCATTTAGATATATATGATCTAGTACATTTTCTAATAAATAAATCAAAAACCTTGAAATAAAAAAATATAAACAAGATAAAATTCTATAGATCATTTATTTAATATTGTCACCTATTTATTTAACTAGCATTAAATCTGATCCATTAAGATTTATATGGAAAATGAAAACACCTGTATGATTGACTTATTCTATTGAAAATAATGATCAACAGTTATACTTAATTCAATGCTAAATGTCATCAGCTACAAAAATTCCATTCTAAAAAAATATTTTGTTTATGTATACAAAAACATATATTGAGTCATTTAATAATAATAATAAAAATAAGTATTTGTAAACTAATTTTATTTAAAATTTAAATATTGAAGTTGATAGATACATAATGTAAACAAATATAATAACATAATATCAAAGATATTTTATTGATTTGCAAAAGAAAAATATATTTTTACAGTAAATTGTTTTAAACATAGTCAATATAATTTCTTGCATTTTTATATCATAATTTCATAGGATATCAAACAAAGCAATAGGCATGATGGTTATACATATAATTATAGAAATCTAAAATTACGCAATCTCAGCAAAATAAAAATAATAAAAATATTACAAGACTATATAGTGATTTTGTGCAGCAATAACAAGTGCACAGCCAATGGCTATATACAATATTGTGGACAACGATTAAATAAAATTTGCATGTTCATTAAATTAAATGTAAGTGTTATTGTTGTAATAGAAAATGAAAATCTTAGTCCTTCGATTAGCCCTAACTAGAACAGTATAAAGGAAAATATAGTATTAAATTTTAATTATCAATGTAAATAAACAAAGACCAAAGTCCACAAAACTTTGAACATATTTTTTATGAAAACATACCAGGTAGTAGGTACGCTGTGCAGTTGGGGTTGAGTATTCGTATTAAATATTAAGTAATAGGTGTCGACACTTTTAACACAGAAACTGTAAATTTCGAAAAAAAAAATTTGAGTCTATGCATGCAGGCATGCTGCTTTTGCTATGCTGCAGTCGATTTTCTGATAACGAATAATCACATAAGCCATGAAAATGTTTTTATATACTTCGCTCGAGATTTAGATAAAATCTAGATCATGATTTTGCCTATAGCCAAAAATTAAATCAGTAAATCACATATTATTTTATAAAATTTAATTGTTAAAACGGACCAAGTATTTTTGCCTTTATTTGATGCAATAAGATTTCGTTTATCATAGATTTAATGAAAATGACAAATGTCTCCATTTCCCACTTTAAGTCTATGATTGCGATGTATATTTTATCAGGTGTCAACGCTTATCAATTGAATGATGAGTAATCATAAAACAGTAATTATATAATATTTGACTTCGAAAAATTATTAAACAAAAAAATAACAATTTTTTACCGAACAAAGACAAGTCAACCACGGGTCACGCGCTAAGGGTTTGTTATAACTTATAAAATAATCACCGATAGATCAACATTTGAGGTTAAGCAATTAAGTGAACAAGGGGTATCCAATGATTTGTTAATTGTGATAGCTTGAACTATTCATTTGTATAGTTGGACAATTTTTTAAATAGAACTAGGTCGTAAAACTCTTTAATTCAGTTGTTCGATCATTTTAAATACAAACACAATATCGCATTATACATCTATTCACTCGTAACACAAATAGACAATAGCTAAATTAAGAATTCTAATCACCTGCTGTGTAATAAAGAATTATACTATTTCTTTATACAGATTTTATTTTAAAGTGGTTCTCACTTACTGGATGGTCCTGGCTTCGTAAAAATTACACCTAACACAAGGACGTAATTTCAGGTTTTTTTGGGAAGGTGCGAGATTTCAAACTGTATTTTGAAATTTCACTGGGCCATATAAAAATAGATATACATATATCCACATTATACTGCTTAGAATTAGTTCTATACGTCGCATGGACCGAATCTTTGCATTAATATAAATAGAAAAATTTAATTTAAAAACTAAAATATAATAAATAATTAACAATCATAATTGACAGAATACCAATATCGATAAATTTCGAAATAAAAATTTTAAATTTAATTTTATGCATTATTTCAGTAGGGCGCAGGTCAGTCAGTATTATTTTAAAAGTAAAGGGTGCAACTGCACACCCTGACCCACCCCCAAATGACGCTCTAACTTAACATGTAAGTATTCTAATAAAATTTGTATTAGCTATATAGTATTAAATGATATTGATATTGTATATCATAATCAGATCAAATAACTGTAATTCATTATCTTGTTATTCTCATCTTTCATGTTACCTTAGTCAACAAGTTTTAACTCAATTAACTTTTTCACAAATATTAATACAAAAACTCAAATTAAATTATTCAAAAGATTATTTTTTTTAATAATTATATCAACAAAATAAATGTTACTTGTTCTAATCATCAGTTCCATTGTAATACATTATACTTATTAAGAAAAACATGATTAGAATTGTCATTTAATACAATAGTTAGATCTGTGATATCAATTTTGTGTCAAGGTTCTTAATTAGACAAGGAGTTAGATCATCGTTTTATCTCAACAAAAATAAAGATTAAATAATAATAATAATAAAAAAAAACAGTGAACTTTACAAAAATTAAAAAAAAAAAAGAAAGTTAATAAAGTATAGGACATAATAATATTAATTCCCTCAATAATTTGAAACTACAACTTTTAAGTATTTGGTAATTTTTTTTGATGGTTCACTAAGATGATATAAATTTGATTTTATTGTATGAACATTTTGAAGTATGTGTTAATATCTGATATTTTGTGTTCTTGATGGTGAATTTTTCTTATTGGATGGTAAGCCTAAATTTTAATGATGTCCTGATGATGATGAACCAATATTTGTATTAGTTCTAAGGCGATGAGTGTTTGAGTTGGCAACAGATGTAGGTTGAATACGATTGACACGTTGACTAATTACAGATACTGGAGAAGTGGGTTGTAAACGATTAACACGTTGGCTAATTATAGATACTGGAGAAGAGGGTTGAAAACGATTAACACGTGGACTAAATACAGATGTTGAAGAAGTAGACTGTAAACGATTAATATGTGTCGAAGATGTTGGCTGAAGGCGATTAGAACGTGGGCTAGCAACAGGTGCTACGGATGATTGAGGAAAAGGTAATAATTGAACTGTATTAGGATGAGGCGTATTAGGACTAACTATTGGTTGTCTTGAATTCTCTCTGGATACAGGTGTTTGAGGGCAAGGTATTAAACGAACCATATTTGGATGTGACATTGTTAAAAAAGTGTCGTTTTGGCTAATAAATGTATCAATTTCAATTGACTGATTAATATTTGAATTAATTAGTTCATCGATTGTAAAGTCAGCAATAGTTTCTTTTTGAACATCTGAAATTAAATATATTTTAATGATAAAATATTTAAAAGAAAAATAATATTTATTTTATACCTGTATGAGCATTCATTATTGATTCTCGCCGTACTTTTGTATAACCGCCAAATAAGTAACAGAGGTTTGTGATAAAATTATCTACTGCTATAGAAGTTGAAGTAAATTCAATTGTTGTACGGCAAACTGGACATGATTTATTAATTTTCAACCATTTTTTTATGCATGTTTCACAAAATGTATGATTGCAATTTGCAGAAGTTGCCTATAAAATAATTTAAATTATATTTTATTTGTTAACCAAGTGTAAGTCAGTGCACTATTTGTTTTCTCTCTGACACATAAAGAAAATTGGCATTAAGCAGAACCAACTATATACTGTTCTTTTTAATATTAAAGTGAATCTATTTATTGTAAAACTTAAAATTAAGAATATTGTGTTCTTAATATGGCTTTTTAAAGTATTTAAAAAAGCAAAATAAAAGCATTTTTAAATTGAAAATTTTCAAACATTTTAAAGAAATTGAAATATTGTAAAAATTCCACTTTAAAAGCAAAGATAATATTCTTAATTTTAAGTCACTTTAGTGAAATATTAGGAATAATATAAGATTTTGCTAAATACAATTTTTCTGTGTTGTGTTAAGGTCAAAGAGAGAATACAAATTGTGTGCTGACATTCTCTTAAAATTATTTTTTCCTTTTAAATTTAAAAACATTGATAAGTATTAAGTATTTGATATACAAAAAAATATTATATACTACAGTTAGGTATTTTATAATGATAATTAAATAATAAACAGTCAAAATTGTATACTTCTACAATTTAAAATTACTTTAAAAAGCCATTCATTACAAATTGGACATTGAAGATCACTATCCATCGTCTTAATAATATCATTCTTTGGTAATAAATCTTGGCTTTCATTTTGTTGTTTTAAAGTCGGCTGAAAAATTAATTATCTCAATAAATTAAAATAATTCAATATTAATTTATCTATTACATACATCACTTGGTTTATTTGCACTTTCTTCATTTGATGATGAATCAGGGTGATATTGAGCAAGTAATGAGACAAATCTCATAAAATTGTCCATCAAATTTATTAAAAGATCATTATCAATAATATTAGATATTGATAGAAGTGTTTTTCGTCCATTTGCTATTAATTCAGCACACCATTTAGCATGAATATTTTCATACTCTTCGAGTATTTTAAAACTATTCAAAATCTTTTGTGACATACTATCTAAGAAAAATTAAATGTTAGTTTAATAAATTAATGTTAACTATACTGAGTTATTCTTTTAATAAACACTCGTTATTTAAAAATATATTTTTTTAAGGTTTTTACTTTTTTGAATGACATTATACCAACATTTTTAAATTCATAATTTGAAGTAATGTAATTTTTAGAATATTTTGATAAACAAAAATCTAAATTCTGACAAGTTAATGAGTTATAAATTTTAACTAATTAAAGTTTAGGTTAGTGGAATGGAATGGTACAGGAATATCCTATAAAATAATAGTCTACTATATTGCTTATTTAAACTTTAAAAAGTTATACCTCTTAAACTATTCGCCTGAATTTAGATTTTTATGTAATAAAATACTCTGCTTAAGAATATGAATAAAAAATGTGTGTTATCATTAAAATAAGTAAAAACTTAAATAATTATAACAATAAAAAATATTAAAATCAGGATTTTAAGAAATTTGTTATAAAATTAAAAATAAGAGTGATCATACTTAGTGAATCATCCTGTATATACATGGTACATGTTAACTTAATAAATTATTGTAATTACTGTAGTTGTAATATAAAAGTAATATTGACTTATTAAAGTTTACAATTATTAATCAATATGAGTACCTATTATAATTATTTTAAGTTAAAAATGTTCATAACCTGCTTAAAAGTTAAAATATTATAAAAACAAACTCATAAAAATAGAAAATGTACTAACATTTAATTTTGATAACAAACTAACAATAAAGGAAGGTAATAACACAAAATTGGTTATCTTTAATACAAATTTGCTAAGTTGTATGTTTATAAGACAAATATGCAAGAGTAGTTATTACCTCTTAATAGATAATTATACATTATTTAGTTCCATTTTAATTACCTGTTAGATAATAATTTATAAGTTTTAGTAAAAACGCAATGAGTCTGGTGTCTTCTTGGGTTTTTAACTGTCTAAAAACTGTTCGATGATAATTATTACTTAATAATTAAAGAGATATAAATAATAAATACCGTATTTAAAGTATAGGTAGTAACTACTAACTAGTAAATCGTAAACGGTATAGTCTGCAATTTAATAATGTAATATTATTTAATTATTATTAAGAAGTATAAAATATAAAATATTACATTCAGCTGTGCCAGTGATTTAAAGTAAAAATTATTAGACATTCAACGTTAAATATCAATTATCAACTATGCAACTCAGCGCAAGAAATAAAAAAGTAAAAAAAAGAAACCAAAAACGGCAAAAAGAAAAGTAAAAATTTTAAGATAAGATGCATAGTCAATTTAAAATTATTGAATTAATAACGGTCAGTAACTCAAAAATCATAACCATAAAAAATATACAACCAATGGGAATATTCGATTTTTTTTCTATATTCTTATCAGTTTTATCATGAATCATAAGCAGATAACAACTTACCAGGTATAAATTAGATTACATATATACCGTGGTTAAACTACGGAATAGATTAAATCTAATCTATTTTGTGTTTAAAGTTAAGACTAGAGAGTGACAAATTACAAACCGACAAAATTATAATAAAATTTTAAATTACATTAAATTCAATACATTTATCTAGTTAAAATTTATGTAAAAAAAATTTGTTTTGTCATAAACTAAGTTACCGATATCAAAATTGTATACAACTAGTAAAATAATAATAGCAAAACTATACTCGGACTGTAAGGATTGACACCTGAATGTAATAAACATAATTGTTAATACATACTTAAGAGAGATTATTTAATACGAATATTCCTTTAAAGAAATTCATGAAAAATTTATATTATCATCAGAAGTTAAAATTTAAACGAATTTCAATAAAATATCGAAAATTTGTAATAAATCATAATATTTTTAATATTCATATTTTAATTTGAATATTTAAGACAAGGTTGGTTCTTTATAAGTTTTGTTTAGCCTATATAAAATAATACAGTTTTATTACAAGACACTTATAGTTGTCTTATTTATCTGTTGCCTGTCTTAGTGAATAAATTACAACATAATGTAAGAATATTTATAGTTTTCTAAATTATTCTATACAAACAAGTTTAAATAAATTTTAATGTTTCTAGTGTAATGAAAGGTGATGCTCAAAGATATTTATAAATAATACTGTGGAAGAAAATTTAACTATACTTAGTGACACAAGTAGATTTATGTAGTGGAATAGGTATTTAAAATCGGACAAAGTTTGTTATTCACCTTTAGGTGTCATGAGTTAAGTTTTCATTAACAGTGATATTAGCCAATAAATACTAGAGTTTACCTAAAGGTAAAAAAATTTAATTTATAATTGATAACTAATAACTATTAATTTATGAATGCATATAAATATATCCAATTGAGAAGAATACTTAAATCTTGCCTTTTATTGCATGAAAAGTTTTCTTATTTGTTGGATAATAATGACTTTAAGTGGCATTGCAATGCTATTGGATTATGTAAGGTATTTTCTTTATGGTTTACCTAGATAAAATAAATTATTTAAAAGTATATTATTTTAATTATATAAACTACTTTCTATTTTCTTACTTTAATAACAAAAAAATTTAATTTTGACTCCAGACGAAATTTAAGTTTCATCATACCATTTGGAATTGAAGTATCATAAAGACAATTGCTATTGTCCAAAACTTCTACATAAATGATTTCGCTGAAAAGTGAATATATAATAATATTTATTATTTTAGATTCTGAGCAAAGCAATAAATATATCGATTATACAATGTTTATTTTTCCATCACTTCTGGAGCAGTAAAATTCTTTTTAAACTAAGGGATGGTTTAGAAAATTGGATTTAGTTAGCAAAAAGTTTCCACTAATTTTAAAAATAACAAAAAAAAAATGATAAAAAAACAAACATTTATGTAAAATTAGTAATTTATAAAAACAATTTTTTTTTTTTATGATGAATTAAAAAATAAATAACCTTAGATACTTTAAACTTTTATGAAATGTTCATTTAACAAATTTCTATACATGACAAAACTTTTAAAATACTATGAATCTTTTTTTGGGCTATTTATTTATATTTTCAATTTTTTTTCTAAATAAGCATCAATAACAATATTATTTGATAAAAACTAACTAAAAAAATCAAAATACATAATTACAATATTTTTTTATTAGCCATTGAAGTTCAGACTACGTCAAAATTCATTAAATTCACAAAAATTTGCAAATTATTTATTGTTAAAAATGTTAATTTTCTATAGCTAAGGCTTTGAAATGTAAACAAATATATCATTTATATATAGGAATTTAGGCTAAAATTCTGTCTTCACTCAGAATTGTTTATTAAATGAAATGATTTATCATTGTATTCAAATTTAACACTTGCATTATAGTCATTTTTCAAATACAAGGTATACTCGATATTGTACAGCAGAGTAGTTAAATAATTTCCATCTTTTTTTATTTTTATTTTATGTATAAATTGTAAATAGTGTCAGTTTTATATTTATGTCTTTTTAAAATATTTAATTTATGATGTTTTAGTTTGTAGGTAAAACTTTTTAAAATATTTTTATATGACAGATTAGTAAAATTATAAAAGTAATATTACCTGTTAAAAAAAATGTATTTAGCAATTTTTTTATTTACACTTATGTTAAAAAATTTTCAAATATTATTTATAAAGAAAAAAAAACATAGCATTACCATTACTTAAATAATTCTAAATAATAAGTCATGATAAAACACTTACTTACCCATTCGCTCTATTAATTTTTATTCCTAATATTCTCAAATAAGGTATGCTAAAATTATATTCCGCATTCATAATATTCAATTCATGAGATAGTTTCTGGAGGGATTGATATACCATTACCAAGAATGGACGTTCTGCTAAATGTGTATATGGATCAGGCATGGAGTTAGTAGCTTCTTCAATTAATTGATGATATCCCTTTATTAAATCAGGCTGTTCAATGTGAGCACATGTTAATAAAAGATTGAGTCTATTATCTTGTTTGTGAGCATTGGGCACTTCATAAAAAATAAATAAATTAACAATATTAAATTGTAAATATAACACAAGTACTAGAATTATAATTTACTTCTTAATGTTGCAACAGGTATTTGAGAAAATGTAAATTGCATTAATTCTATTGGTTTATAATTCAACATCCACATCGATAAGCACATTCCTATTAATGCTTTGGACATCTTTTGACATTTCTCTTTAGAGTTAAATACCACATTTAAGAAATCAATAATTATTTTACATACATTAGGATTCTTTGGAGTTAAACCTAAGTAACTAGTTGAAAAAACATAATTAGAAACATCTTTAATTCGGTAATGTTGTAAGCGATCATTAATCTGAAAACAAAAATAATTCAAAAGATGAATAATAAAAAACAATGATGCTTAAATAAGTATAGTTTACCATAATATTCCCAATAGAATCAATCAAGTGCTGTAAAAAGTCTATATCACCACAATTTGCATCTGCAAAGTATGTAAGAAGATGAATGCTACTAGTCACATCTTCTAAAACTTTGTTATTTTTATTATTATTAAAGGCATTAATTAGTTGGGTTAATAGTACAGGGTCATGGTACTTTGCTCTTTTTAGTGGTTTAATTAAGGATACAAAATTCAAAGGGTTTTGTATAAGATTATCTAAGTTTTTTTCAACCCTGTAGGCAAATATTCTCAGCATTTTGTCATAAACTTTTGCACTACTTTTGTATGTTGCCACACCTATAACACTTAATTCTTCATCAGTTAATTTTTTTAAATAACTGATTTCATTCATTAATTTTTGTAATCCAAATTCGACCACACGTTTTGATTTATTTTTGTAAATACTAACATAATAAATCAACTGTATAGTTTGCGAAGTAGTTAAATCAGGTCTTCGAAACCATAATTCATCCATTAATTCAATGCATTTTTTTAATGATCTTGATTTTTTGTGAAACTGGTTTTTTTCAGATAAACAGGCATCCATTAAAGCAAGTATCTGATTGATTGACATATCATTCACTCGATTTTCTAGTTCTTTATCAATTTCATAGTGGGAAACATTTTTGGATGAAAAATATTTCAGAAGTAATTCGTCAGTAGAAATAGTGTTAAAATTAATAGGGTTATTAAGAGATATGTTTTCTTCAGTTATAGATTTTTTTAAAACAAACTTATTATATTGTGGTTGATTTCTGAAATAATCTAATGTCCATTTATGAAATGTTGAATGGTTTTTAACTTGAATCAATGTTTTAAAATAACAATTTATACTAACTGAACTTAATGACTTCATAAAAACCTTGGTGAAGAGATATTTTCTTGAACACATTTTTGATTGACTTCCTAATAAAACCAAGTAGATAGGTACCTAGAAGATATTATTGAGTGTAGATTTTGAAACTTATTATCTATAAAAAATAGTAAGTTAAGTCAGGTAGTTCTTTATGACGGACATGATAACTAAAGTCTTAACTTATTTGTGCCTACGTTTTATAAAATCTTGTAATTACACGGAAAAAATATAAAATGATCAAAATTTGAGTAAAATCACAGAATATAAGATAAATGATAATGTGCTAAAAGTTACTATAAAGAAAAAAACTTATATACATATATAACATTGTTATATATATATCTATTATGATTTATATAATCAGTTATTCTGTGGTTATATCACTTTAAAGCAATAAGATAAGAAAATTATAATCAGTTATGAATGAAATATTACTCTTTCCACTAAATATTGTTCCAGATGTTGACAATTGTATTGAGTAGTTGTAGGTAGTAACTTGTTTTAGTGCCCAGTAAGTACTTTAATAAAAGTTTTCGTAAGAAAAATTGCATATTTTAAACATTAGTTTCTTTGTTTCACGAAAGAATGTTTGGACTCAATTTTAGTTATTACTGCGATTGTTGAAGTGTTTATTGTGATTATGGAAATCAATTGGTATTCAATCTTTGTTTAATAATATTATTTCATTGATAGGTAATTGTATTTAAACATATTATTGATTAAAATAGTGTAAAATTTGTTACCAATATTTACATCGTTTTAATAAACAATTTCAGAAGTACGTTATTAATCGTATCAGTTAAAATGCCAGATTCATGGGGAAGTTTCATGAACAAACCAGCTAGAGGTTGGTTACATCCAGACAATGTTATTACGAGAAGTAGTGTTTGTTATGAAGTTCGAGTAATTATTGACTTTATTAATTTAACATTTTCATGCAACTGTATGATCGTTTATTAATTGGAAGTATTATTAAAATATTGTCTTTTAAATTTTTAGTATATTGGTTGTTTGGAAGTACTGACATCTATGAAAAGTTTGGATTTCGATACACGATTTTTAGTAGCCAAGTAAGTTAGAATATTATTTAAATTTTAAAATAATTAATTTTTAATGGTAATTATTTTTTTTTTTTTAGGGAATGTATAAATAAAGTTTGTGAAGCAGCTGGACTTAAAACTGCCGACAAAAAACGAAAAGTAAATTAAATTATTTTATTTCTTAGTATATGAAAGTGATTAATGAAAAAAAGGGTTTAATTTAATTTATAATACTATCTTCAGTATTTTAAACATTTTATATTTTATAGGTGGATAAAAAAATTTTAAGACTTATTGGTGATCATTCAATTATGGATCATGCAGGATCAAATGTTACCTTGTCTATATCTAGCACGTGTTTGACATTAAAACTTAGGGATTCACATGCAGTAATTTCTACACATGATATGCCTAGGATATCATTTGCATCTGGAGGCGATGCTGTAAGAATAATTAAATTTTAAATAATCTTCTATGTATTAAATATTCTTCTTTTGATATGGTTTATTTTAGGACACAATAGACTTTGTTGCATTTGTAGCAAAAGACATAAAAGACTGGCGTGCATGTTATGTGTTGGAATGTGGAGAAGGCGAGTTAGCACAAGATGTTATTACAACTATTGGCCAAGCCTTTGATTTACGTTTTAAACAATTTTTAACAAAACCTGCACCAGTTCTAAGCTCAAGCACACGTGATGAGCGAGAATATTATAATGATTTACCAGGAAAATCTCCTCCAGAAACTGGTCCACCACCTGTACCACCTCTTCCTTCATATCATGATCATCGTAGTAGAGGTTAATACATTAAATAAATTAATAATTATTTTCTTAAAGTAACTAATAACACTGAATAAATTATAATTTTAGAAAGACTAGTCTCGAATAACCTAATAGATCTGAATTGTGAAGCACCTCCACCACCTGTACCACATCCTGCTCATAACTATGTTAATGATTTTGTAGTTGGAAATAAAAACCACAACTCACAACCTCGTGATGTATTTGATATGCGTACGTTATATTATAATTATAATCTTTTAAAAGCAAATAATATGTATAAGATAATCAATGTACCATTTTATATTTGTATGTATTTGAATAAAATATTTTAGAACCTTTTGTGGATCATGAACCTCTTCCAGTAATGGCACCAAAATTACAAGATGAGATTTGGTTTCATGGTAGCATTACTAGACAGCATGCTGAAGCATTACTAAAACATGTAAGTAGGATATAATATATAATATACTCAAAAATAAATCTGATTTTATTATAGATATTTCTCAATTATCAGCAACCTTTTTTTTGTTTATTAATACTAAAATATTCTTTTATTAAGTTTAAAATTTTTTATGCTAGTACCATTCCATGTTTTATAAACAATTTTTTTTTACTTTGATATCTCTGGAAGTTATGTGCTATTTTAAGTAAATAAAATAATTAAATCAATTTATTGATATAAAATTTATCATCAAGAAATACTCCTTCAAGAAATCCCCGGGATATTACAGCCGACATAGTAAGATACTTACCTAAAAAAGTTATTGTTCACCAATCTCATGTTTTAATTCAGTTTTAAAACTATCATATTTCCCAATTCTGTTGAAAATATCTACCATCATTCTAGTCCTCAAACCTAATAAACTTCCTGATTTGATACCCTTCTTTTGTTCTATAAGTTTACTTTTATTTTTTTTCAAAAATTCTGGAAAATTCTACTCAATTTCATTCTTCTTAATTCTCAATTAAGATTTTGTACTGCACATTAAATTATACAACTATTTCATAGAGTTATTAATTCTACATCTTACTAAAAAAAAAAACTATACTATACAGGTGTATTTCTTGATATTTCTATGATCTTTGGCAGGGTTTGGTATGAAGGTTTCATTTACAAATTAAAAAAGTTTCTTCAATCCACCTACTTCCTTATTATAAAATCCTACCTCTGATAATCATTTCAAAATTTATTTCGATGATGCATTTTCTCCATTAGCCAACATATCTGCTGATGTCTCTTAAGGTGGTATTTTTTTCCCTATCCTTTGCAATATTTATGTTTTTAATCAACCAACTGCATCCAACATACTGGTCACCAATTATGAGAATAACAAGACCGTATTTTTATCTATTCACTCAAACCTTACTTTTAGCCTTATAAAATCTCCAATTTCAACTCATTCTTATTGAAAATTGGTTCTCCAACAGGATGTTTAAAATAAACTAATCTAAATCTATCCAGTATCCATAGGTACTATATTCTCTCTCAGACTCGCCCCTTGCCCGGACGTCTAACTTTTTAATTCCAAGTGCTCTGAGTATTAGATATCTTAGCCTTACTCTTGATAAAAGACTCACTTGAGCCTAGCATATTAAATCCAAAAGATTAATTTTAAATTAACAAGTACACCTTTTAAAAAGTTACATCAATAATAATAAATATATACAGATTAATACTAAACAGTTCATCTATAAATCACTATTAAATCCTATTTGGGAAAATAGCCTGTAGCTCTGGGGTTATGTGAAAAAGTTCATTATAAATAAAATACAAAATTTTCAAAACATTACATTACACAAATTATTAAATGCCCCACCCTCTATCTCTAACCATACTATCCATTAAAAATTCTGTTAGTGTACAAATAAGCAAATCTTGTTACTTCCATAATTCTTGACAACCTTCCAAAACGGCTAAAACAAAAATGGTATCGTGACCTACTTGTCAACTAATTAAAAATAAAAGTAATAACAATCAAATGAAAATTTACTAATAAGTGGCTGTTTTCCTCAAACTTAAAACATTTTGTGTATAATTTATTGTGAACTATAGTTGGTCTAATAATTTATATGCAGAAATTTCTGTATCACATTTACTTATTCTGCCTTGGAGGTATAGAATTTAAATCTCATTTAAAAGTAAAAAAAAAAATCAGTACAATTATATATTGATTTGTAATTTTCAAAAAAAAAAAAAAAACACTTGATTTTATTATGTAAAATTTATAAATTTTATTTGATCTGTATTCTTTAATAATATTGTTAAAGAAAGAACAATTAAGTAAAATATTTACACAAACATATATTATAACTATTACATTTTTAACAAAGACAAAAATAACAGATAAATGATATACTCAAGCATTTTTATTTAGCATATTAATCTGTCATATTTTAAATGCTCTTTAAGTTTTTTAATTCTTAATTAATAAAAATAATAAAGATGATTTTTTAATTTTTATTAATTATTATATCCTAGCATAACGAGAAACATATACCTATCAGACATTGTATCTATTGTATCATAATTTATTAATATAAACTGAAAATTAATGCTGAAATAAAATAAAAATGTATATAGTTGCAAATAGTTTATCAAGAGATAAATTATTTCAAATAAATGCATGACAAATATTTATTGAAAAAATGTATAAACTGTGTTTGTTTATATAGGATGGTGATTTTCTAGTAAGAGAATCACAAGGATCTCCTGGACAATATGTATTAACTGGTCTTCAAGGAGATGTTAAGAAACACTTACTTTTAATTGATCCAGAAGGCGCAGTTAGAACTAAAGATCGTATGTTTGAAAGTGTCAGTCATTTGGTAAACTACCATAGTGAAAACAAATTGCCCATTATGTCAGCTGAAAGTGCTCTCATTTTAAGATATCCAGTACCACGAACTAGATTTTAATAGCTTTATTTAATTTAATCCATTCCAATTACCAAACAAACATTAATATGAATATTTGAATGTTTAAATACTAATATATAAATATATTTATTTATACATTGAATAGTATAATGATGTTGACAATAGCATTCATACTCATTGATTTGTATGCATCAACCAGTGGAGTTTTTCAGTTTTTATTTACCTATTTAAATTATTAATTATTAAATGTCATAAAGTTAAATTTTATGATAATGTAATGTTTACCAATTCACATACCTACCTTTCTTAACATAAATACTGTATATTATGTTAAGATGTGTTGACGTTTTAAAAATGTGTATGATATGTCAATAGTATTATAAACTTAGATTTTTTTACAAACCACTGGTATGATGAATATATTTATTATTTTAACTTATAATTATACCTTAATACTCGTATTAATTTTTCTTCAATTGAACATATTTGTATGCATACAAATTCATAATTCATATAATTTTTAAGGAGTAATGACTCAGGAATGGTATTTATACATACATATAAGCCTAATAGATCATTGTTAATACATTAGTCATACATTAGAATATTATTTTTGAAGATAGTGAGTTTAATCTTTTCTGTGGATATCAGTATATATTTAATACATTTATATGATTTATTCATTTAAATTGAATTAAGAAAAACTAAATATTTTATTTTGTTACCAATTAGTTATAATTTTATAGATGTAACTCATTTTTTTTTTTTTTTGTATTTTAATACCTATCTATCAGAGTAAAATAAATCAATTACAAAAGTTTGACTTTTTCATTTTTATAGACAGTTCAATAAACAAGAATAAAAATACTCAGTTTGATTAAAATTACTCCTAATTAGTTGTAGGTATGAACTGCCAAGTAAATATAGAAATCAACTAGGTTTGCAAATTTAACCCTACTTTTTTGTATCATTTGACAAAGTGTGATAAATTTGTAACAATGTAGATGTAAAATATATTTATTGAAATAAGGCTAATTAAAATTTATGTTTAAAATTTGTTCAACCACAGTTAAAAGAACAATTTAATGATTTATATTGAATAGTAAATATCTAAATTGAATATTAAAGAAAATGATGATTTTTAATACAAACGCGAGCTATCTATATTTATATAAACTTATTCATTATCATTATTAATTTATTATATTATATTCATCATAATATTTTTGTGTTATTATATTATCATTTTGTGATTAACACATAAAAATTAATTAAAGTATGTACATTATTATACATGAAATATACAGGACAAATTCAATGAATAATACAATATATATATTATTTTTGTTGTAAATATTAATATAATTTATACTCAAAATTATATAAAGTACCAATATTTTGTTTAATTAATCAACAATTATTCCTGTTATAATTTATCATTTGTTTTTTTTTTTTTTTATATAGTTATAGTTTTCCTAGTGTCATAATTTCTACAACACATTTTGTTATATTATATTAAGTTTTATTTTGTAACTTTTCTTTAACTTATACAGCTTTAATATACCTATATTTTATCCATGCTACTTATTTTTAATTATTATTAAATGTCTTATAATTTTTTAATGTTGACCACTAATTATAAGGTATTTATATCAAATTTTAGAACCATCTTAATACCTATCTGTCAATGTTGTTGAGTGATATTAATACATTTTTATCCAAACACGAATGCTACGAGTGTAACAATTTGCATTTTTAAGAATATGTTAAAAAATAATATCCATATTTTGCAAATATTGATTTGAAAACAGAATTAAAATAAATACGGGTTTAACCTATTATCATGGCTTTTTGTAATTTAAAAGCATGAAAACAATTAAGTTCAAATTTAACTCGACCTCCATAACATCTGCCATGTGCCGATATTTTTATAAAATAAATATTAATTTATGATTTGTAAATAAAACTATGAAGCAATTTTTTTATTTTATTATTATTTAAAAATAAAAATAAAAGTCACTGAACTTAAGCCCAGCGACTAGAGCCATTAGCTGTTGTAAGGATAATGAACTGTGGGTAGAGGTAAGGTTGGTACAGGTAGGTTGTTTTTAAGATTGTTATGGTTGTTACGGTTGATAGCAAACACATGTATGTGTGGCAAGGTTTTTAACCACTACGAACCCGGGTGGTCACCCATCCTGGAACTAGTAACTGTGGCTGTTACTTACTCCCAGTTGAATTCCGTGACTGGCAGCAGCCAACGTGCCACACCAAGCCACAAGTAGTTTAATTGTTTAACCATAGAATGATCAAAATACCCTGTAACTGGTTGTGTCATGGAACAGTACTTATAAATAATTCAAGAGAAGTATTTGAGTTTTGCAGTTATTATGATTAGTGATCACTAAAGCTTGAAAGTTGTAGAAGAGACGTATATGTCAGTTTGTAGCAAACCAAGCCAGAAATTTGAAATATGTTTGAAAATTTAAAATTCATATTTTGTCAATTTTTGAAAAAATATGCAAATTTTATTGATTTTCAAACGTATGTTAAATAGAAGTATAATAGGTTCTTAATATTATTTTATGTAAGTATTTATTGTCATCGATGTAGTTGAATATTAATTAGACGAAAACACTGTGATACGTATTAAATCTATATTTTATTAATATGCTGAAATATTATCTAACTGACAATAAGTTATTGATTTAACTTGGTAAACAGAAAATTGCAAATGTAAATTTTTTATGCAATTTTGAAATATCAAACATATATGTATAGTTAAATAGTTTATCTAAACCAAAAATAAAAAAATGAAATAGTTGTTAAACATGTAATATATATGTATATATTATATTTATGAATACTAAAGTTCTTGTAAGAATGCATTGTTTGGAATACTTAAAACAATAACTATGAGTGAAATTTAAAGGTAGAATCACATTAATTGAAATTAAATTATAGTATATATTATTGTTTTATACATATATTTTTTTAAATTTAACTAATTATTAACAAAATTAAAAAATATTTGTGAAATTGAAGTAAAAAAACTGGATAGGGTGTTCAGGGACACTTCATCAATTTGAATTTTTGTTAGATATACGTTTATTTATTTTTTTTTTTGGACGTATTTGTAATTATTCAGTTCATGTGATTAAAAAGTAATATAATAAATTGTTTATTATATTGGAATGAAATTTTTTGAGTGAATGGAAGCAGGTGAGAGAGAGAGAATTTTAAGTTAATAGTACGTTAATTGATTGATAGGATTGAAGTTAATAGATGTTATATTTTCATCTTTTTAATTGAGATAAATTTCTTGATAATTAATCGAGTTAAAAATTATAAGTAAATTATATTAGTAATATTATAACTTATAATATAAGGATTATTTTATTATTGAATACATTATTGAGAGACTGACTTTGGGATATTATGCAGTAACCACTTAAGTGTGTTGATTTATTTGTATTCTCTCTGCTTGAATCAGATTTATAGTTAACTTAAATGAGTTTTAATATTATTAATAGAGCAATGTTAATACATAGGCTAGAAGAACTTATATAGGCAATATCTGAAGCAGTTATATTGGTGAGATTAGAATGGGATATATCAATAATATAAAGATTGTAGGGTTGTAAGGTTGTTCAGAACTCTTAAAATGTAAATAATAATATACAACTTCAGCCCTTTGATTAATATTGATGTATATTTTCATTATTTGTGGGTTTTGATATTTTGGATATATATTTATTGTGCTTTGATGCATAAAAATAAAAAATATGTGTCATAGTTTGTGAATTTAAATCCTTCTTCTTAGTCATAAAATAAATTTGGTATAATTGTTTTAAATAAATTAAAAATGTATTATTTAATTTCATAAAAAAAATTTTCTCTATGAACAAATTACAGTTAAATATAATTAATTCATCAAAGAGATAATAAAACATAGACCAAAAACAATGTCCTAATAATTAAAAGTTAAACATTTTAAATTATACAATATTATAAATATATAAAATACATTTGATATGATTAAAAAATATAAATTACTTAAGACTAGTAAAATTACACTACTTTGGAAAATTTAAATATAGTTTACAAGTATTTCCAATTTATTCGAAGGCAATGAATCATGAAAGAGTTTCTCCTTTAGTGACCTAAAAGATAAAATATTTTTTTAATAACTTAATTATACATTAATATAAATATAAAATTATTTACCCTTGCTTCTAAATATTCAATTCTTCTTTCTAGTGTGGTTAATTTTTCATTTAAAATAGCTAATCTGGATCGACACGACATATCTATATATATATAAAAAAAAAAAATCAATGAATATATATTCTACAAAAATAATTTTTTGGTAACATTTATTTATGATTAATTTACAAACATATTACACATGGAATAAGCATCTTGATACTTAAAATTATAAAATTACTAATAAACTTATCAGATCCCGATCAACATTAAATATTATATTTAGTATAGTTATTGTTATATTTAAAAATAAGATGTTTAATTTTGAAATTAATTATACATTATTTATTTCATGCACAAATTAATTTTTTAATATCTAGGTTTTTCGTTTTAATCTATCCTTTAGATCAATTTTAGTTGAAGGTCCAGGTTTATCTCTTGCTGCTAACTCTTCATCAATTAATAGTTCAAAATTTCCCATTGCCTCTCGAGATGGACATTTATTCCAACGTACATCAGGAATTCCACTAGGTGGTAAGACTACACTTAACATATTGTCAATCAATTTATACTTCAGTATACGGTCATTTGCTGTAGTAGAAGTTAGTGAAGGAGATGCATTTACTTCAATTAGCCAGGGTTTTAAATTATCATCAATTATAATATCATATCCATAACATTCAAAACAATGTCTATCATTAGCCATTATATAACTCACTGACTTTAAAGAATGAACAATCAACCAAACAATATTATCAAAAAGTGCTTCAGTTACAGTTTTTCCTCTAGTGCTTTCCAGAAATAGTCTCAAATTTTGAATGCTTAATTTACCGCCATGTATACTGTTATATTCATCAGCTTGTTTTTGTAAGGAGACATTAGTCAAATGGATTAATAAGTTTTCTATATCAGCAACACTTGTATTGTATTTGACAGTACAAAATCGACAAAAGCCCGATTTAAACAAGTATGCTTTTAGTGGACGAAAAGACGTGACCAAAACATATAAACGAAGATCAAACTTTTTACCATCGATAAGTAGTGGATTATCAATGTATTTAGATATAACATATGATTCTTTTATGGTAGATGTATTGAAATTATTATTTTTGCCTTCTCTAGACCATTTCTTCAATTTTGATAATTTATTAATGAGGAATATTCCTGTTCCTTGAGATTTTCCGACTGGTTTCATAATCCATGTACTTGGGCCAACTTTACGGTATTCTTCTACAAACAAATTATAATCTGCTGGTAGCACAAATGTAACTGGAATAAAATCTAAGTATAAGTATTTTCCATCCAAACGCTTGGCTAATGGACTTCCCTCTCTTTCGAGCTCACGTCTATAACGTTTAATATTTTTAATCAACATATCTTTACGACTGAGTTCATAATGATTAGGGAAATGATTGATCATTTGGTTGTCATGCATTCTATAGCCACTATCAATACTAAATAAACTACGACATGTTTGTATACCAGCCCAATAAAAATTCCAATCATCATCAGGGCCAACATGTATCCAGCCTCTTTTCTCAAAATTACTTAATACAACTGACCTGTCGACATCTGTACAATATGTTATTTTCATTATGATGATAAAAAACTAGTGTTGAGGAAAAGGTTTAATTAAAAACTAGAAGATTACAGGTTAAAAACTTATAAAAGTAGATAGATCATAGATCAAACATTATGTTATAAATAGATGTGTCCATGGTAACAAAAACTCTACTTAAATACTTTAGCTCTTATTCAAGTATGATTAAATTATAGAATAAAGAGTGATATGTTAAGATGGATACAGAACACTGTTTATCAAAATAATATTACGTGCTTACCAAATGAATTGAGAAAATCTGTAATTTTTTTTATGCTGCCAGTGATCACCTCAATGTATTCACGGTTTGCCCAGTCTTGTTGTATTTGTTTTTGAACGCCTTCTTTAGGTCCTCCCATGGCTACGGGATATAAGTGAACGACAAAATGTATTGAATAAACAGCAGTCGCCGACTGACGAGTAACAACTGTTTAGTGAATAGTGTTTAATAATACCTATTTATTCGCCGACTGTGGAGTCGTGGAAAGTGAATCGAGAAAATAGAACAACTTACTGATGTTAGTGATTATATTATTTATATTATCATAGTTATTGTAGTGGATAGTAAAGTCGGTCGAACGAATATCTCGAATAAGGATAACGCCGAACAGATCCGCAATTACGGTACAATATAGTACTTGACACTTGCGCCTTGTACGTGTTAGGCTTTAGGCTAATCTAGTAATCTGTAATCTAATGTTTCGGTAGTGGACAATGTTAGCCAGTGGGCCCTGGTGGTGAATGGGCGGGTTTAAACTTTAAGCCGTGTGCGTAGTGCATTGATAAAGGACATTTTCTTTATCTATAGTGCGGTGTGCAATATGAAAAAAAATACTACGTCCTTGTTTATCACATTATCATTTATCAACGACTGAGGCCATATAGAATTATATATAGTGTGGTGTAAATCAGTTAATCTCACAATATAGTTATAGTATCTGTTTAGTCGTGGTGTAAATAATGAGTTTATGACCAAATCACCAAATATAATATTTTTTTAAATCTATTTTGTCATCATATAAATAATGTAAATCACGAACTAAGATAATATCCATCTTAGTGATTTAATGGTGTAAATAAAGGATAAATAGATATTTATTTCATCAGTCATATTTCAAATAAAATTTATTCCAATAAAACGTCATCATTCAATAGGTTTTTCTATCAATCACTTTTCCTACAAAACATTTGGACGAAACATTTTCGGTACAAATGTTTGGTGGAATTTTAGAATTAATTCTGACTTAAATAATAATGCTCTACAGATCAACGCCCGATGAGTTATCACCGAATATTTGAGTCATTGTCGTCGGCGGGGGAGAAAAATACGTTATCGGCGCAATATTATCTATTGTGTTTTGGTGTTATCACTCTACGAAACTTCGTCGCCACTCACCAGTCGCCAGTGTGACACGAACGGCAATCAAGTATGATCGCAAACGTTCTTCACGGATTTTGTTCGATTACCACCATCCGTACCGTCGAAATTACCGATTTCCATTACACAGTGGCGAGTACGATAATATCGTAAATTGCATTTATATCGTTAATAATTTAATATCATATAAATAAATATCACGAATTAAAAGAAAGACATAATATGACAACAAGTTGCCAGTTTCCATTGTTTCCAATGACCACATCGCGTAGTCACGTATCGAGCGGGGCTACAAAGTAGATTGTAGAAACTATTTATGCGGGCTTGCAATTCGTAATCGCAGTTGAATAAAAGTCGTCGTGATTTTTTTCAAATTTTACGTTTTCGGTTTTCTCCGAGGATACTACGTCCGTCCGGATAAGGAATACCAAACAATACAATAATTATTATAAACCTGAAAACGGATCGGCTACAATTATTACTACTGCTGCTGCGGTCTAACGGCTACCGGTGTTCATCGAACAGCGGATACCCATTGCACGACGATATTTTTTTTTATAATATATTTTATGATTATGACATTACGTTATCAATGACGAAGACTACGAAGTGCGAGTAACGAGTTACGACGGACGACGACGACGACGACGACTGCGACGCGCGCGCCGAGGAACGTACATAGCGGACAGTTGGACAGGCTGCGTGCGCCGTACAAAAGATGGCTGTGCTGTAAACAAAAAATAAATAAATAAATGTCACGCCCCTTTTAGAGAATAATAATAAAAAAAAAAAAAAAAGAAAAGAAAGAAGGAAAAAACCAAAACACCTTTTTTTCCGTCTTCGCTAATCGGTGAATATTACGGTCGGGGTGTGTTTCGCGTATTTTTCCGCGATATTATCGTTACCCGTTATTATCGTCGTCGCCTCCGCGGTCCAAGTCGACGCCGTCGTAAAGCCGAACGCCGTCGCCGCCGCCGTCGACCGGTGTTGCACCGCACGGGACCAGTGACCACCGACCATAACGCCGTACAAGAGCGCCCTTTGTTTTGCCGAGCCGTTGATTGACCAGACGACGACGACAACACCGAACGCCGATTTGAATTAAATAATGACTGAATACAAACTGGTCGTCGTCGGTGGTAAGTAACTGTTACACTGCCCACGGACGTAATAACGATTGTGCGTGAGCACTTCTACAGGCTATGGCCACAAACTCCGATAGAGTTTTGGTATCTCGTAAGGTCCGAGTGTTTGATCCTGTATTCGACATCCTCCAAAATTGTACGATTCGTTTGTGTCACTGGCTACTATCGGCCAGCGTTTTG